CTTTTGATAGTTGGTTGCCGAATTGAGCTAGTTGGACATATCTTTTGTATAGCTCCTTGATTGAAACCCTAAATATACTTTTGGATCCGTTTCTCTTTTGATTTGGCAAACCGTACATGTATCCACTTTGGAATAATTTTTTGTATGCCGCTTTGGATTGTATATGCTTAATTTCAATATGTAAATATTTGCTTGATGTTCGGTTGGATTTTGACGTGTCGGTTACTATTCATGGCCGACTCCGGTTTCATTTTTTTTATTTGGACATTGTGACTCGTTTACGCGCGTTAGTATGTTCCGACACGTCTTAGATCGATGTGAACTGAACCGTTAGTCCTGGCGAGAGTTGGGCAAGCAGTTCGCTAACCCCTTTGGTTCGCCTTAGGGGAAGGTGGGGCTGTCACAAAAACAACACAATAATCAACAAGAATTATACTACAATCTGGACAAAAAAACTAGTAGCAATTAACGACTGAAATTTTTGGACAGATTGCAACACAAGAAACAAATCCCACTTGAGACGCGACAAGAAGAGAACGAAAACCCTAGTGGCTGCAATATTTTTTTCATTTTTTTCTGGACAAAACACGAATAACCAACACCAATTAACAACAAACTAGACACAAAACACGATGAAACAAATCTGGAAAAATTCGGACAGTAACTTTAAACACAAAACTAGAATTGTGGACTTGCTAGAATAAACCCTAATGATCTAAACACGAATTGGGATGATAAAACTTGACTCAAAAATAAGAAAAGGGATATAACGTGATACCTCTTAACTAGCTCTGATTGCCAGCTGATACGAACGTCACCAACTTATGACGAAACCCGTAAGAGATAAGTCTCAGGATCTAAGGAAGTAAATAGTATGAGATAGTTGATGCCACAACCTAGTGTGTTTCTAGATTGATAAGTCTAGTTGAAGATCCTAGAGATTAATCAAAGATATTCAAGGAAAGCTCACAAGAAGTCAAAAGAGAGAACTCTCAAATTCTTAATATCGAAAATAATAATGTTGCTTGAACAAGCGAGTTCCTATTTATACTACTACTAAGCACGTAATCCAAAGGTGATTGGGTGTCAGATAAGGCCTTAACCCTAAGCTATTCTTGGCCCATTAAGGGACAGCTCCTATGCGTGGTCCTTCATGCTCAACATTAGCTTATTTATTTAGTCCAACTAATTGATATAACTACTAGCTAAATAACTCCAACAAGCTACGCTTCAAGGCTGATTTCCTTCATCGAGTATGGCTTGTAGCACGGTAATTTGCCTTTCATTCTCACAGGCAAGGTCTTCTATAAGCTTGGGTCTTCCCACTTGTTCGTGCACTGCTTTGACCAATAGTTGGAAAGCATCCTTCATTTTCTTGATGCGTGCTCATGTGACTAGACCTAGGGGCACTTTCACTTGCTCCACTTCCTTCGTTTGAGCTACGTCTCCATTTGCATCAAAAATTGTATATGCTGTGTGTGCTTAGAGTTAAACCCATTTTTAGGCTTCAATATTTGCAATTTATTTTGGGCTTAAGTGAGGATTCATTATTTGTGATTAGTAATGAAGGACTTGGGATGTGAAAGGGTAGTACGTGTCTAGTGATTCAAGTGTAGCAAGGATCGGAGGTTTACGTTGTGGGCTAGTTGCCAAAGCATAGTGTATGATTTCTAGAACGAATGGTAGATACGTTGCATAGTTACAGTTTCTTCTTTCATCAAGTTCCAAGTCTATATCCCTTTGCCTATTTTAAACCATTGTTGAACTTCTTTCATATATCAGCTTTACCATTATGTCAGTGCGATCTTCCGCTAGATAACATTTTGTAGGTGAGAGGAAGTCACTTAGGAGTTGGAGAAAAATCTTGTAGAATCAAGTTTTGTGCGAGCAAAAGTTGGAATTTCGAGAGCAAAATTCTCTTAAGCGGGAGAGAGTGTGAGGACTCAAGAGAAAATTTTTCCATTTTACATGTTTTATACGTTCTAACGGCATTTCACTCTACTCATTTAATACTTAATTTGATTGTCTATTTATATATTTGTCTAAAGATTTAATCATGATTAGTAGTCATCATGATTTTTTTTATCGATGCATGTGGGAATTAGTGAGCGTGGTGATAGCAAATTTTAGTGACGTGTATGAGGAATATAGTGGAGAAAAAAGGGTTTAGTGCAATAAGAGACAATTGAGATATTTGAAGCAAGAAACTAAGAGAATTGGACATGTGCCACAATAGGAACCAAGTTTTATCTCTTTAAGACATCATTGACCAAGCTTTCTTGCCATTTCCATTTCTTGTCTTCCAAAATTAAACACTAAGAGAGAGAGAGAGAGAAGAGAGAGAGAGAGAGAGAGAGATGGCCAAAATTTGGGGAGGAAAAGGGGAACTTCATCCAATCTAGCTTCCATCTTACTTAGTTTTATGGGAAAAGGAAGGAGAAATCTTGGATTGACCATCAACCTTGGCATGAGCTTGGAAAGGAAGAAGAGTTGGTGGATTGTGGGTTGAGTTTTATCTTGGTTTGGAAAGAAAAAGAGGTAAAAAAACTAGATCATCCTTCTTTCTTTGTCTTATGTTTAAGATAAGTGAAATCTTGTGGTGAATCTTGTGGTACTTGAACTTGATGCTTGAGTTCTTAGGGTTTGGATGGTGTATGCACTTATGGTAAATTTCTTGTTAAGATTTTGGCTATAGATACCTATTTTTATGTTGGTGATAAAACCTTATGGATGTATTAGCTAAATTTGCTTGAAATTGTGAATTTAGTTGAAGGAATGATTGGAAAAAACAATTGAGAAACCATGTGCTTGCTGGCTGAAAAAAGGGGCTGGATTTTTAACTTTTATTTCCAAAATTTCATGATGATTTTAAGTTCAATTTTGCTTAAAATACACTATGAGACTTTATACTACAAGTGTATGTTGAATTTGAGTCAAGAGAGTAAGGCTTTGTTAGTGAAAGTTGCATTTTTTTTGACATTATTAGCAATCTGGAAATTTTCACAGGAAACTCTGCACCGCTTTGGGAATTTGGTATAACTTCATATAGAAAAGTTGAATTGAGTTCCATTTATTGCATTTGAAACTAGACTGAGAGAGTTTACAATGATATAAAATTCAGGGTTTGATTCAATTTCTATAAGGAACAGCAAATCTGCAAAATTTCTTGAAAATCATGACTGTTCTGTTTCTGCACTTGTGATAGTAGTGATTTATAACCTGAAATTTGTCTAATCTATGAACTGAATTTTATGAAAGTGCCTTTTAATGTTAGTGCTTCGAGTCTATTTTCCAACGGTGTAAGTTTTGTGATTTTTTGACTTACGGAACTCAAGTTATACCTTTTCAAAAATGTCACCAAAGATGGAAATTTGTTCAAAGCTAGTTAAGAGAGAGAGCAATTGTGTTTGGCTTTTCTCTTGGTTTTGTATGGTGAAATTATCTTGTTAATGCCCTAAATACTTGATTATACCATAATCCTAGCATGAGAGCAAAAAATGATAGGTTTTAGGAGGTAACAACCTCAATTTTTTTTGTTTCAAGTGTTGAATTTCCAGCCTAACAACCAAACTATTTTGGACAGTTTTAAACTCAAATTCATGGATGAAAAGGAAATATTTTCGCACATATTTTACTTGAATCATTGACCTAACATATAATTTTCCTCTTTGAAATGAACTAGAAACTATATGATTTGGGGTGAGCTTACTTAGTTGATTTGGAAGTAATTTCCTTTAAATGTTGTGGCTTGGAATAGTGTGGCATCTTTAAGATTGTACTTGAGTATGGCTAGGTGAGAAGGTAGTCATATAATTGATTCTTGAACTAGCTTTGAACCTCGAGATTCTTGTCCCGTTCTCTTCACAAGTTTTGACTATCATTGACATGCTCCTAATTCATATGATACGTGACATAATGATTGTCGCGTCCCATTTTTAATAAAGAAAATAAATAACGAGTTTAGAAAAATGGCTTTTGATTCAATTTTCGATTGGAAAATGAATTTTTGATTTAAAAAAAATGAAAAATATGGGTCTAAATGGGACTTGAAAATGCGACGATTTGACCCAAAATATAAGTTAAAAAGGGTTTTTTGAATGAAAAATAGAGTCGCCACTTGGCATAGAGTTAAGGTGTACCAAGTCACCTAAAAATGAATTTTTAAAGAACAAAGTAGAAAACCCTTTTTAAACGACTCCAAGTCTACGAAAATCAAAGAAAAAGATTCGGGAGTCACATTGAAGAAAGGGAAGGCAAGGATAAGAATCCAAGCACCCTTCCAACCTAGCCAAGGCTAGTTGCGCGATTTAGTCAAAGATTTTCTTATTTTAACCTAAAGCTTTATCACATTTGGATGTACTATATGAATCCAAACCCTAGACCTAAGAGCGTATCGGGGTCGAAATGTATCTTCAAAACTTACTTGATACCAATCACATTAATTGTGACGCCCAATAAAGACTCTTCGAAGAAGTCACGAATAATGCAAGTCATGAGACTTGAAAGAAAGGAAAAGTAAAGAAAATAATATATACAAATGTGTATGACCTAAAGGAATGCATCATAATGGGTGGGGGGACTTATACTCGTGACTTTCAATGTTCCCTTTAATAGAGGGAATACGAGTGTGCTAAGGCTAGGGAAGCCAAACTCGTCCATATCCCATATCCAAGGGGTTTTTCCTAGTCTAACCAAGCAAATATACTAACCTAGGTCTAATACTTAGATGAAATGCAAGTCTCATGTCATGTTTCATACAAAGGGGTAAGTAATATACATATAAGGGAAAATATGGGGGAAGGGATATACTATGGAGGGATGTCATGCAAAAAATGATAAAAGACCCTAAAAAGTGAAAATATGCGTGAGATGAAGTGATTTTATCACACAATCATGATCTAACGTGCGGATGGTTCCTAAGGGTCTAGCGTTGGATTAGTCCTTAACTAACATTCTCTCACAAGCATTGGACTTGTAAGAGCTCGAAGGGAAGACCATGACTAGCATATGGTGCTTTTCGTTTCTTCCTTTTTTGCACGCTTGGACCTGTCATTTGGTTTAGCTTGATATTTGGACCTCACATCAGGTGGCAGCAGTTCCGAGGGTACCACACCCTCAATTCCATGTTCAGTAAACTGCATAGAAACCCCAATGACGACTTTAGTGACAAATATTGAATGCCTGTAGCTCTGAGCTATTAGCATAAGAGCTTTAAATAATAATGTACTCTAGAAAATCCCTCCAGGTCTTGACGAGCAGAGAACCGTAGCCCTTTCCAACAGTAAACCTGCACCACAAAATGATAAAATTGCTTGCTTCAAAGAGTTACATGAAATAGGTGAACACGTAAAATGCATTTAAAACAATTTACTAGTGGATCTATTAATAATTAAAATTGCACTTATGACCAAAAAGTACTACCCTTCAATGAGCCAAAATGGATCTATAACAATTTTTTATCAAGTGCGGCATTCTTTTCCAAAAGGGGGGATTTAAGGCAGTGAACATGCATATGAGGCAATCACTATTTCATTCCAAAATGTAAAAGATAGCACATTAGGCTGCTGGTTGTTAATCATGAAATTATAAAAGAAAAACAGGAAATAGTCACCAGACACAACTGTAACCAAATTACATGTATGAAATAGAACAAATGCAATGCAGGATCATGCTAAAAAAATTGGATTTTATTCTTAAAGTATATTGTTAGTTATATGCTAATTTTTGCCGTTAATTTAAGATATTGTTTTGTGTAGCTGGTGCACAAGCAGTTGGCATGTGCCCCATCAAGTGTATTTGGATCTTTTGTCAATTAGGGAAACAATGTGATTGGACCCTAACATTACACATCTCAAGTACAGCACCCAATTTCCATTTTTAGCTATTAGCTCAGGTTTGTCTCGGCTCTCCTTGGCTTTCATATAGCTGAGAAGCTATTCTCTTTCCAAGCTTTGAGATTTCGCGTCATATATTCCTAATACTTCAGCATTTTTATCTAAATTCCTTCTAGTTTTCTTCACCAAAATGCATAGTAAATCTTCAAGTACCAGTAGGAACAGAAAGGAAACAGCAATATGTAGTTTCTACCGTACATGTCATGTAAACTATAAGCTAATCATGACTATTACTTGCAACACAATGGAATGAGCTGAAACTGATCCTTTTGCAGCCAATGAATGCAAATAAAAGGGAAATGCGCAAACATACTCGATTGTTCTTGTGATGATATTCTGCTTCAATTCCAGCAGATTCATCCATCTGCAATTTCGCAAATAGGTAATTCTCATTTAGATGAAGCCTATATCAACTTTTGACATATTTACAACATAAGCAATGTGTCAACAAGCTTACATCCTCAGCCAGGGGTTTCCAGTACTCGCTGATGGCAGGAGTCCGCACACGTTGAGGATCAGTTAAAGCATTCTGCAAAACCACAAGAAATTTAATGAGTCACAAAAATTCAGCATTTGCTGAAGCACAGCCCAAAATACTCGTTTATCTTGACCTTCATCAGAGGTTTTAGAGCATTCAGCCAAAAAATATGGTTACAAACTGCTGCCAAACTTAGAAATCACAAAGCAGGTTGGTTAAACATCAAAATTCAACATTATATTGCAATCTTCAGGGGACATAAGATAAATTTCAACCCATCATAACAATATTAGAGGCCAAATCTTGTTTGCTTAATATTTGCTAATCCAACTACTTGCTTAACAAAAAGCTTTTTTTTGGAATGTTCACCTCCCATTTCTTGTATTTCATGAGCTGAGAAGAAGCCATCTAACGTAGAAGTTGAAAAAACTGCCCCGGATACAGATAAATGAGATGCAAGAGTTTGCTTATTAAACTTCCATGACAAATACTTTTTTTACCACAATTCATCAGTGCTTGTCAACCCTATCTCATTGTCATCAACAAATTGTGGGCAACATATCATGAATTATTAACAAGCAGAAATGACTTGTAGACTCCGCTTTACTTCACACAGTCTTCAATATTTTATTAAGAGAAAGAACTAAAATGCTTCAGTTCATGAAATCAATTGCCTGACTGATGAAAAAATGAGGCACCCATGAATAGTAAATAAGCAAGCTTACCAACAGAGAAAACATAACCACTCAAGGAAAGCAACACTTAAACTGAAAAAATTCCAAAAAATTATTACAGCTGAAGAGCCAAAATGAAGTACCAAGATAATCTACAATAATCTTCATAAATATCTTTTTGTTCAAAAAAGTTTTTAAAAAAAAGGGCAAAAATTAAGCAAATAAGAACACCTAAAATTTAACAAGAAAAACTAGATTCAACTTGTTTTAGACAACTGCTAACAATCCTTGTGTGGTCTCTACTGTGAATAATATGTAACTTGTAATGGAACAAAATACTTGTGCACTATGTAAATAAGTACGCTGACAAAGTATACATGGTCCAGATTGAATTTAGATGTATCCACAAAGGCGCTGTATCCACAAAGGCGCTAATATATATTTGTTCAGTGGGTTATCTATCACTGTTAGATGTCAAAATCCAAAATCACCATTAAACTAGCCTTATATTTAGAGTTCTGATCACTATTACCACAATAACTCAAAAAAGCCACTCCAATGTTTGGACTGCAATATTTAATTTTTCTGTAAGTTTGAGCCATTGAGTTAGACATGACAAGGAATGAGACAATCATGTAACTTGAATTTTAAGGGCATGCATGCCAACATGACATTACAAAAAATCTAAACATTAAAAAGATGAACAAAATGGTATCAGCAGTTCATCATCTCCCCTAACACACATTTTCATTCAACAAAAGTTTAATGTAAAAATTGAAATTGGCCCACCAACTTAGATGCACATCTTCCTTCACTTCATATTCACTTCTAGAATATTATTAAACCAATTGACACAGCACAAGCTGTTAATAGGCTAGTGGGAATAGCACTCTTTATTGACCTTAAGACTTTGTAGGAGATCTCAATATTGGGGGCAAGAATCACAGGTACCAAAGATCAAGAAAAAAACAGAACAAACAACTTGAAGAAAATTGCAGGAAAATGGGCAAATAAGAAGGAAACCAGATCAGGAAACTCTATAGATAACTTTAGGCATTACACCCAAGGCAAGATTGCATCACACAAACCTCAAACGATGATACGTCTGCAGGAATTTTATTGATGTTGAAATCAGTCTTCTCTTTGGATTAGTAGAATATTCAGACTCGTAGACTGAATTGAACTCCTGTTAAGATTCACTTTAACTAGAATAGATACAAGAACCTTTTCCTAACATTACCAACTACTAATTACTAAAACGGAAAATTAATTGCCAAAACAGAAATTTTCTGATACAACCTAAAACACTGAAATGCCCCAAACGGCTCAAATTCAAAAAGTCTCAAATAAAATTAAATGGCTACCTAAATGAAATGAAACAAAGGCCCGTTAGGACTTAAACCAACTCCAAAGTAGGCTCCTGAAGCATGCCAACTCAAAGCCTGCACTCTGCAACATCCTTGCCACACCTCTTATAGGCGTTTAAGTAACCATTTAATTTTATTTAAGATTTTCCAAATTTGAATCATTAGGGGTATTTCAGTAATTTAGCTGTCGCATGGAATTTTTTTTTGGTAATTAATTTTAATATTTGTTTTAGTAATTAATATTTGGCAGTTCGTCAAGGAATCCTGACTTGGAAACGTTATGAAAAGTTTGTTTCTATTCTAGTTAAGTGAATCTTAATGGAAATCTGATTTGGTCTAGGAGTCCACAAACATTGTACTTCTCCACAAAGAGAAGACAAATATCTACATTAACAACAACTCTGCAGACACTTATCACCTTTTTGAGGTTGTGTGATGCAATCTAGCCTGGAGTAGGATGCCTAAAAATTTCTAGGAGCAATTCTCTGAGTATCCTAATCTAGTATCCTGATTTCCGTGTTTTCTGCAATTTTCTTCAAGTATTCTGTTTTGTTTTAAATTCACTTTAAAATTTTTCCTGAGATTTTGACCAGAAATTCTAAGGCCAAAAAATGGTGCTATAAATTCATGAGCCTACCAACAGCTTGTGCTGCAGCACAACTCGGGAGGAATCTCAAACTTTTGAAACTACGTATGCAGGGAGTGTTGGTAAAAGGGAGTGGGTGACTCAGATTTGGAATAAGCAAGTGGTGGCAGAAGTTGAAGTTGGGTAAATAGTGGATATAGGCTGGAATCCAGCAGGTCTAGAAAGCAGGGATATAAAAAGAAATGCTGGCAGCATGAAGAACTGATACATCTCTGTGGTTGGCAGGCAGTGGTTTGGAAAGAATTTTCAAGTGGTTGAATCAAGCCAAATGAGTTTTTCAGTTGGCTTGTTAGACGTAGTTATACAGCTGCTATATATATTCTGCATATAGAGAGAATAAGTGCCTCGGGAATAACAAAATATGCTCTCTTCAGTCTGACTGACTGTCTTTTCAGGAGAAAGCCTTAGGGTTACGAAGTTCTTTAGGTCTGGTTACGGCACTAAAATTCATTGGTGCATGCTTCACAAATAGCTTATGCACAACAATAACATTTATGTACTCAGCACCAGGGCCAAGAATGAAGCTTTGCAACCAACAAATGATAATAATATTGAGTAATAATACAAAAAAGCCAAAGATCTTACTGATACTGTTTCACAATAAAAAATCACAAAAGGATAAGGGTAAGGAACACACCGGATTCTGGTCTGCCCATTTCCACAATTGAGAAAGTTCTTTGTTTCCTAATCTCCACCGTGGACGACTGTCATTATTAGCCAAAAAGATAGGTCAAAAAAAGCAACTAAAAGTTCCTAAGATACATAGCAATTATCGTCACATTCTTTCAATGTACAACATACACATTGCAAGCCACCAAATGCAATGGTGTATATTCTTTTAACCCAAATTTCAGATGATCTAGTGTTTTTATTGTTAATTTAAATGCATCTCATACAAATAGATTGTAAGGAAAAAAAAAAACTTCTTCAAAGAACAATGATCCAACAGAAAATAGGTTAATTCACATTCTACCCTCAGTGGATAAGCTAGATAGCTTCTTAACCATCATCAGAAAGTAAAGGCTACTGACTTCAAATCACTTTTATCTACTTTTCTTTCACCCTCAATATTCAGAGGTGGTAATGAAAGCAATACTCGCAACAGTAGTTTCTTTGTGATGCCAAAGTTTGGGTTTTTTCTTACATGACACCCACACGCGGTTCCACATCCTTAGGAATAATTGTAAGAGGTGTTTTATAATTTACATTCCTTATTATGCTGTGTTCCATCAATATAAAAGTTGATAAACATAGCACTAATGCTCAGGTGGTCATAATTTAATTTATAACTATGTGAGACACAATTCAATGAAGCACAAGGGGAATATAATAGGGGATTCCACAAGTTTTTCTCTGAATAGGCCGTACTCTGTGTGATTCTTAGTAAACAGGCATGCTTTCCAGGTGGGCGTTTTGCAATATTCATCATTTTCAGTAGACTATTTTCAGTAAACTTTCAACTGTGCCCTGCTTCGTCATACTGTTTGCCTTAAAGGAGCTGAAATTTGAAAACAATTACAAAGATGAAGAGAAGAAGAAAATCTTGTAATCCTCCTCAAATTTCCTGATGAATAGCCTTGGAATGGTCATTTTCGATGCACAATGAATACAATTTCAAAATTCATCTGATGATATTCTCAAGTCACTAGCTCACAAGGAGTAGACAGTTATTTTTTCACAAAAAAGAAGCTTACAAAAGCTAATCCTTGTCCTACTAGAACAACATTCCCTAATAAAAGATTTATCTATCCGCCAATAAAAATAACTAACCTTGTTTAATTACTAAACTCTCAGTTTCAAATGGAGCTGTATTGCAAAAACTTGCTTCAATCATACACATCTACTGTAAAAAATATCCCAAGAACACCTAAAATCCGACCAACAACACCCAAAAAACACAATAAAAAGAAAAACACACCAGCACACATCATCATCCCACCCATCAACCACAGCCCCCCACCTTCCCCTCTTTCTCCACTCTCCCCCCTCCTTGCTGCAGTCCCATTCCCCTAGCCCTCCCCCCTTCCCTCCCTTCCACATTCACCTTCCCCTTGCCAGGATTTATACATATAGATCTGATATAGAGAGAGAGTCTCAATTACCTAGGTGAGAACCACAGATAGCTCTAATCCTCGTTTCACCACTTACCAGGAACTTCTTGCCAAATCTCAACCCGGAATCGCGATCTATGAAAAAACAAATCCAAGGCTGGGTGTAAATCACCCAAAAACTCTTTGGAGTTTTCATAAACAGACATTATAAAATATTTTCCAATAATTATCTACAGTAAAAAATTTTCTAAAAGCACCCATCCCAACGGATAAGATTCCAACCTTAAAAGGAAACCCAATTACAAGAAATCTACAATCTTATGCAAGTCACTAAAAATCGATAACATAACATGAATTCCCGGACTCAAAATCAATAAATTGCATTCTAGCCTACGTTATGACTTCAAGAAAGGAAGCTATGGAAAAACACTTCAGAGGACTTGCTTGACTGCTGAAATGGATTTAAGAACCATTTTAAACTTTATCCTGTGGATGCAAGTGTGCAAATAAATAGGTCCTAGACAGCTAAGACATGTCAGTGTCTGGTGTAGAAGTATCCCTATTTGCTTTTAGACAATATAAAATTGAAATGCCTCTAAAGAACACACCTCAACATCCATTTTTAATGGTGACACACCTCCACAATAACAACATGACAATCTGAAAGTGTATAATTCCCCTATAATCAGCCAATTCAGCCTATTCAGACAATTGACCTATATCAGCAGCATAAAGCTTTTAATTAAGCATTTCAAAATTCATATCCCAATCTTGAGGTACTCTTCCGATGGAAGGTTGCCAGCATCAAACTACCATCTCCCTTCTTTTCAGTGCAATCATAAACAACAGCCTGTGTTCCTTCAATCAGCATAACAATACTAACAATCCCTATTCAAGATGTTTCTGTCATCACAATTTTCAATTAATAAGAAACAGAATCTTCACCAGCCCCTCATGCACCTCAAAACAACAAAGCCTTTTTGCTTCACCTCTGCCACCATCCATCCTCCTCCCTTGAGGGCATCTTTTGACCGACATCTCTCAACTCTGTCATGCTAGTAAACATCTGACATATCTGCCATCAATCCTCCATCATCCTCCTCATCATTAATATTTGGGAGAAAGTTACAAGTGTTCCTGTTTCAATGCCCGAGAACCAAAGATAAACTCAGGAAGGTATTTAGCTAAGTATAAAATCCAGATAATACACCACCAAATTCACACCACCAACTTGGGGTACCAAGCCAACCTCACAACTAGGAAGTAAACCCTCTCCACAACAATTATCCATGCATCACCTATCATATTCCTTTCTAACCCTTTTGTAGATATTGATTTGCTTCAAGGACAGTATCAACGAGTTCTTTTTCCATTCAGATTAAGTATATGTTTTGTTATTCACGGAATTATTTTCAATCTCCATGTTCAAAATCTTGAGCAATTGACACCAATTTAGCCAGAAAATCATTGTATAATGTCTGGTAATGCTATACTGTAGTTGCTGATTTAAGGTCTTCCAAGACAAGCTCCATGAATACAAGTTTTCAAGTTTTGAAGTAAATTCCCTAGTGTCCTTCTACTTCCCCTGCCGCAACTGATCTCGTACTGGCCAAATCTTTGTCATCAAAAGACAAGGTCTCTAAATTTAAGTTTCAAAGTTTCAACCTAAAATTCCCAGTCTCCTTTTAAAGAATCTAACAGAAATCCACTAGATCGTGCTAACCAGTTATCTCCTACACATAAAGTTTCTGACATGATATTCTTTTAGTGAAGTTCATTGATTTGTCCTTAAGGCAGCGTTATGGCAATGACTATTTCACATGCATGCGTTTTAATCAGTGAAAATGTCGTTCTGCCATATTTACAAACCAAAGACTTGAATACACTTAGATGTCTATCCAGCTAATTTCAAACTGAAAGCTAAGCAACAAGATCATGCGCCACAAAGTCCAATTATGAGGTTCAGAAGACAAATAAAGCATAGTTGCAACAAGAAAAGGAGGGTATTTACTGCAAATATCCAATCCAATCAGAAATGTAAGAAGATATACTTTGCCAATTAAATTATTTTTATGTTTAAAAATTACCATACTGCAGGAAATAACCATTCTTAATTCAGTATTTCATTTTTGCTCTTTCTGTTTCGTTAGCGTAGTAAACAATGACTTGTCTCAAGCTTAGCTAAATATGCTATAAACATTAACCGCAGTATAGGATGGAAAGACCCTTTTCACTGAACTATCATAGGTTTCATAGATATATGTGGACATTTGCTCACTACAAGATATATAGTTTCTTACTAATTAGATCATGTATTTACACAAAAACAATCACCAAAAATCCAAATTCAGCATCAATTTGCACCTAGAAAAGTTTGACATAAAGTAAAGGGAAAATGAAATTAAAATTTCTAATTATAAAAGCACAAAGTGCAGAAACCTTGCCAATTTAGCTATATCAGACACTTTAATGACATTCAGTCTTCAAGTTTTAATCACCATCTACAGATCCCACATCCAATATAATTGAGTAGTGATACAAAGTTTAGCTATGATCTCCAGCTCATTTTTCCTTAGTCACATAGATTATGCACTACTTACCGTTTTTTCACACCATCTTGAGTTAGTTTCTTTTCTAGTGGTTGCTTCTCAAATGGCGGGCAGCCATCACGTTTCCACCATACCTTGAAGTTGAAGAGAAACAAAGTAGAACAAACACTAATGAGTAATTATCAGAGTGCAAATGAATTATAAGCAATGGCAAAAAGAAAAAAAAATCTATTTGTGTAATTCACAAAGAAAGCCTGAAAGGGGGGTTAAAATTGCTCACCCAGTTCCTTTCACGTTCTAATATATGCTCAATACTTTTGAGAAATTCTTTGCCTCTAGGTGGAGTCATGTCAAGGAGCTTTTTGACCCTTTCTTCACAGTTTTTAATTTCTTCTTTCTAGATTAGCAACTGAAATTAGTTAATATGATGCCAAGGAAAGCTATGCAGATAGAATACAACATAAATGCTAAATTAGAAACTACAAAAGGATATGTAAGCCTTTGCAGTCAAGGACTTAGCAAAAGCTAGTCCTACTCCTGCAAAGGCTAACAAAAATTTATTAATTCACCATGCAAGTAATTCTAAATTTCTTGCACCAGTACATTCCACACCTTATCAGAATAACATTGTCACTATTCTCAAAAAAAAAAAAAAAAAATTTTACTATTCTGGAACTTGCCAATTCATAAATAATTACTTAAATCTCCTCCACGACAAAAACAAAGAAGATCAAACCTCCTCAAATCATGAGCTTATACTAGCTCGAATGTGAATTCAATTGGGAGGGATTACTAAGGGCAACTAGTTCTACTTCTTTTAGGAGATACCTTCTAGAAGCTTTATTAAATTGCAGGCCTGATTGCTTATCAATCTATTCATTCTTGTTTTATTGCACCTGTAAGTTAGTGTCTTTATGTGGTCAGCAGTTAAGTGGTGCCGGTATGTTGTTTCTTACTTCAAACAAATAAATAGTAAAGACAAGAAGCAAAAAGAGCACAGCCATATGTGATACAAATGCGAGCACATTAATTTTCTTTTCCTTATGCTCCAGCTTTGCATTTCGTTTATGTCTTGAAAACCAACAACTCTACTCTTGTCATTTCCTGTGTTTCAACAGATCAACCTTCACAGAAAGTCAAGGATTTGATTTTGGCGTGTAAGTTCAGATAAAGTAGAATCCCAAAACCTAGTTGTCTGTAGTGTCAAGATCGTCATTGAAGGACACAATTTTAATAGATCATATACAACTGAGACAATTTTAGACTATTCCTATCTCCATTTTTTGCACATCCATCCATCTCATGAAAATGGATACAGCCATTATCCTTCGCCTCCCCCCTACCTTGAGAAACAAATATTTGTGTTCACATGCAAGTCCACATACTAGATACAGGTCTTTATCTACCATAATGATGGCAGTTTCGAAAGGTAGTTTTAGACGGTAATATAGGGGCATGAGCGCCTATAGGCAGGTTTCTAACCAATGGTAGTGGCACAGCTAAGGGATTCCCAACAGCAAAAATTGAGTGTGTTCAGATAGAGTATTATTTGAGATATTATTTGGAATAATTACTGTAGCATTTTTTGTAATGTGATGTGTGTGAGATAAAAAGGTTGTTGGGAAGATAAAAAGAGCATTAAAAAAACATGTTTATGATGCAATGAAAAAATTTTTTGCAAATGATCTCTTATCCAAACTAGTTACTTCCCCATAATGTCTGCTCACTGTTAAAAGTGAGTCCATTTCCAAGAGTGCATTTACCTTTTATAGCTTTTTCAGTTTCATTTCTTGTTCTTTCCAAGGACTTCATACTTGTCTCTAGATTTTTCCACAAATAATAATAATCAAAAGAGATTATTTTTCTGTTTCAATAAAAGATCGAAGCTGCTAATAGACCCTGGGTATAGGGAAAATGCATTCATGCAAAAAGAGAGATAACTATGGTTATATTGGCAAGAGAAGAATATCACAGATCACAAACCATTGTTTCAGAGGGCAAATCTTTATCATTTTTTCCTGGTGCCTGCAAGAAAAGTGGGAAATAATCACTCTCTTAATTATTGTGGTAACATGAAATAAAAGGAGAAAAAAAATATTATTTATGAATGCATGATGAGATTTCTAAAAAATAAAACATTCTGCATGCCTCATAATGCTATAATCAATGATATAACCTTCTGGAAAGTCCCACAGGGATGTATGAGCATCAAGAATACAGAAGGAAAACTTTAATGAAGAAATCCCAAATATTATCTAGAACTAAAATTTGCTACAAATTTCACGAGTATGATAATATTTTTATTTTTAATTTTAAGTGCCAAAAAAAAAAGATTTAAGAGTGCAAAGTCAATGAACATCAATTTTGAGAAAGAATAAAAAAGAACTGAGTTCGTTAAACTTGTATAAAATAAGCTGGGCTCTTATATCCTTAATCCCCCTGCCAGTCATGCTTCAAACTATGGTTTTTTCATATTGAAAAGCAGTCTACCATTTTATCCAGCATTTGCTGTAAAAGAATATGTTCAAAATCCAGTGTAGAAGTCTTAGAACTTGGGTTTAGTCACTTTGCTTCCACGTTCTGCCACCCCTAAATCCAGGGCATCAACAATAAGGTTGGCCCTCAAATATGCTTGGCTGTGGTTGAGCTCAACCAGATGGAGTTGCAGGCTTCCATGTAATAAGGTCTTCATCATTGTACCTAGAATGTGATCCCAACACCAACCTAGGATAGCCACCTACGTGTCCTCATCATTGTAATGAACAACTCTAACCCCTACGATCCATCCTTCACACAAAAGAACTTTTGAACCTCCTCAGCTTGAACTACGTCTGGTAGATATAGCCTAGGATAAATATGCTGAACAAAGAAGAATCACAGGTCTAAGACATTCACAAAACTTTGGATACTGCTAACAGTTAATCTTTGTGTTATTGCAATTCCAGATCCCCCAGCCAATCTAGATACTATTATGTCCATCACCACAATTTCAATTTCAATCTCAATTTTTGAGTGAACCAAAAAGAGAAAAATCATAAGGTTACGAGAAGTAAAAGCCCAAATTGCCGAACATAAGCATCTACCTAAAGCCTTCAATAAAACCAAATTAATGTTTCACGTTGTAAAGTTAATGCCTAAGCATTGGCCATAGACAAATGCCTGTAAGTTGTAAGATGGTAAAGCTTATCAGCAGCAAAACCAAAGCACCCACAAAACAAGGAGACATTTTTTTTATTGGGTACAACATGTTGCAAATAAGGAGTTAGTGGGTGCTGATATCATAATGAGAAAGCCTCATAAAAAAATCTAAAAATAGCAAGATAAGATTGAGTCTTTCTTTTTATATTTTGACATACAAATACTCTTACCTTCAAATAATCAAACAAAATGAGGCATTGAACCAAAATGTGACGTCGAAAATTTGGATCCTTTAGCTGTGTGACAAATATATATATATATATATAGAGAGAGAGAGAGAGAGATTTAATTAGCCAGTGAACTTTAAGACCTAAAAATCCAAATTACAAGGAAATTGAAAAATCCTTACTTCTAGACCCATAAGTTTAGGGCTTGTCAGATATTTTATGCTGAAATTTGCTGCCTCATCCTCAAGGTTAATGGCATTGCCCTCATCGTCACTCAAAGGCTGAGCCTCAAAGGTGCTCAACACAGTCTGCAAGAAATTTGCAAAGCGATACAACTAAACTTACACACAATTTGCTGTACAGATAGTATCCAACATTATAAGTAAAATCAAATCAAATAATTGCTGACTGACAATGAGGATGGTATACCATTAAACTAGAGTTAAACTTGTGCCATTTGGATGGTGTTACAGACAGGGAAGCTGGATTGGAAAAGTATTCCTGAAAACCACAATCAACAAAGTTGCTATAATGACCACAAAAGGAACATGAAGGCAGATAGAAGAAAATCAAATTAAAATGAGATACATTATAAATAATAGTTTAAATGCCATTGCCTATAAGAACACAAGAAAATAAGAAGACAGATAAAAAAGACATTCAGCCGTTAAATGATAAAACTGTGGACTCAGGTAAGGTCTGAATCATGTGTCCATTCCATCTGGAGATGACTTATAAATCAAGAGTACTAGCTTCAGCTTTAGTGGGACATTTTCTAATTTTTAGAGTTTCAATTGCCTCCAAAATAAAGAGTACAATGCATCTCAACACTCTCAATATATCAGCTACTAAAACTATCTACAAGATGGGAAGAGGCAGTGCAGCTATAATTAAGATTGGGTTCATTTATTTCCTTTTAGAAGGAATAAAAAATGTTTTGTACCTTAAAAAATTTTTCTTTGAAGTAATGACAAAAAAAGAAAATAAAACCAATAAAATCTGATTGTGTCTTGTTAATCTTTGTTCAAATTTTAAAAGCACAACATTTGATGATTTAGACTTGTGTATAATACTTTTTCCACCTTCCAAAACCAAAAAGTTTTAACAATTTTCCCTGTTGGTTTTCATTTCTTCTCTCTTGTTCTCCTCAAAATCAGTATTAACTCACAGAAACAAAAGTCAACCAAAAAAAGTTTGAGTATCCATGTACCTTCTTGTGAAAACAAATGATCTACAGATGACCTATATCATTTGGGTACTCACAATATGAATTACTTTAGAGTCACACAATAGATGTTTATTTTTTTAAAAGTTTTCTCATCATTTTCTCATTTACATGCTTGATCAGATTGACATGGCATCAATACAAAAAAAATGGATAAAAATATGTAATAGGACCATACAAATTGAAACAGGAATAAGCAGAATGCCCTGTCAAGATGACAAATAAAACAAAAATTTAGATCCACATGTTCCAAGAAAGATATCTGGAGTCAAGACCCACTTTTCACTTGATTAAAGAACATACGTGCTTTTAGAATCTCCATCACATAAAAATTCTGCAACTTAAAAATTTCAACTTCAGATCATGGTGTTCAACATTCAAGTCTCACCAAGACACGCAACTTATTAGCACCCTTAAATTCTGCACAGCCTAGGGGGATCCTAAAGCATGGACCAAGTAGACAACCATGCAGGATGCTGCAGTCCATATAAGAGAAGGAATGCACCATTCCAAATCAAATCCATTATAATAGCACATTCAGAGACTTTGGTTTTCTACTGCTATTGACTTCCAGAAACTGCTTGTCTACTCTTCATACTCAAGTTGCTACAACATCAACTGCTACGGATTGACTATACCACCCATTCCAATAACCAGGACCAAGGTACATAGAAACGTCACCCAGTACCAAAAGCATTTCTTTCACTTAAGTCCCCAATACACCTCAGGTTCCAATCAACAATCAAGATCAGTTCTAATATATAAATTTTGTAAATAGAAAAAGCGTAGCTCTTTCCCACTTCAAAAAGAATGAACCTAATCATATCTAAACACATACGAGTACAGAGATATACAATTAACAGTAAATTAAGGGAAACAAGTAGAAAATAGCTGTTTCTGTTGGAGGAGGGAGAATCTCAATAGAAACTAAGAGCACTAACGATATTTCAAAGAAAGATGTGACAAAGATGCTTTAAAGACTTGACCAATTTTGCAAACTAATATGATATCCTATTTGCTAGGATGCTTCAATTTAAAGATCTTGACATCCATGCAACAGGTCTAATGTAATCAACCAGATAAAAAAGTGCCTCTCACTTGAGAACAAGCATTAACAGCAACGAATTGATTGACATGCGAGACACCTATTAAAGAATCAAGGTGCAATGTGATTTACTTACCTGTAAACTCCAGAGTGTTTTATAGAAATTCAGATCAATAGAAATACCTGAAAACCAAAGAAAGAGATAAATGTAAGTATACTTGAACATGTATTTTACACTGGTTTTAATAAATAGACTTATAGGTAAATATACAAGACATTGAGGATTAAATATACCATCAGGGGCCTCTGTCTCATACTTTGTCTCATTTGATGTATTAAATACTCCTTTGATATTAACAGCTGCAATAGATTACAAGACATCAAAGATGACATATGCAAAAGCGACATGAAATGTAAATGTCAAAAAACTTTGTGTAGAAACTACCAGAACGTTCAGACAATGGAAAGAAATGAGCAAGAAACATAATTATTCGTCCACAGAACACCACATCATTTGCCTGCAAAATCAGATTTAAGCTCAAGTGAAACTCACATACAATTGTCCACAGCATACTATGTCCTTTTTCTTAATCAAAACAAGGTAGTAAAGAGAATATCCACTAACCCTTTGCTGCTTCAAGGAGTAACATAACCAACTAGCAAGTGAGAGTTCAAGCAAAACTATGATATTGACAATCATTTCCATTATCAGGTCAATTTCAGAGACATTTAACCAGAAGAACCATAAACGCACTTTGGAAGACAAGAAATCAGAAGTTAAAAACTATTCTAAGTCAATTCTAGAAGAAGGTTGTTTAAATCAAGACCACTTTTTAATAATTTAAATGAGCAATGGAAACTCATAATTAATTAGTAAAACTGTCTCCATAGAACAAAACTTAAAACAGGAGAGTTTTCAGAAGAAAAAGAATAATGAAACTGCATGGAGACAACTAACACATATCGGAGATTGGCAAAAACTGAAATTAAAACAGGATAATAAAAAGTTATAAAAGGCACCAAACCACTCTCTACCTTTGACAGTCGCCGGAGAAGCTGATTGCATGTTCTTAACATAACAAGCTTTCCTCGAGCAAACAATTCTGGCTGCAAGATTCAAGAATAAACAAAGACAGCTTTAACAAATGGACAACATATAATGACGTCAGAAGATATAACAAAGAAATTCCATTTTGCAATAATTTTCTAAGGAACTTAGTGGATGTTTTGCATTGTTCTTTATGAAGCGCGCAGCAAACTTATAGGTATCTGATCATCAAGGCTTATCTCAATAGCTGGTAAAGTTTGAATGAGGCATATGCTTGCATGCACAAGATTAAATGTCCAAATAAACTTGTTATCAAAATGATTGTGAAGATGTGCAATTCTAACTAAAATCGTAGGATTGAGTTTTCATTTGTTAGAGGAACCAGGCTCGCATGTGACCAAATTGAATTGCAAGTACCACACATGCTGCAAATAGGTTATCTAACTTTTTTTTTTTTTGAATAGCTTACTTAGATAAAACACACTACTTTTTATATAAAGACAATCATGCACTAGCCCAGAAATTAAAATGGCCAGAAAATATTTAAAAAACAGCCACCTTGGATCACTGCAACAGGTAAAAATTGTATAATATCATTAGCTATGGTGACCTGGAGTCGGCACACAATAACCCTTCGGTCATCAAGAACTTGATATTCATGAGATCAAGTTTTCGTCCCTTACTGGATCTCAAAAACCTCAAACTGAGTTTCTATACATAAGCTCCCATTTTTATCTATTTCAAATTCATTTTAACTTATTAATTTTCTTGTAATTAGTTTATAGTGGCTTTTATGTGTTAGCATGTCTAAACTTATTCTACCAAGTAGGGTATAACTGAGGTTGTATGATGAACTTGAAAGATCCTTATCTTCAATTAATACGATCTAAACATCAGACTATCCTTATTTTAGTGCGTGCATAAAAATGAAAATTATATATGACTAGGATTCTCTGAGTCATAGGTTATTAAAACATATATTCGGTTATATCTAGGTATATACTGTCTTAGTCATAGGTTATTAAAACAAATATTCAGTCATTAATAGGAAGAGATGGGTTATTAAAACAAATATTCAGTCATTAATAGGAAGAGTCTATGTCAATACGAAAATTATCAATCAAATGCAATGCACCAATGATGTGCCTATGAAACAGCAAATAATGATGATCACCACATGGCCATCAGAGCGTGAATCTAAATCTACCATAAGTCCCACGACACCCAATTAGACCCAATTAGCCATCTAAAGCAATCCAAGTTGGTAAGTCTGATAATCAATCACATACGTAGTTTCAACATTCATAGAATTTATCTAGAAACAGGGCTTCTTAAAGTATAAATAAATCAAAATTATAACTATCAAATAATAACTGTTTATTAAACAGGGCTAATAACTGTTTAGTAACTCTTTATTAAATATGGAAGGTATACAAGCTCAGACTCTCTGAAACATAAAAAAAGACCTATGACCATGGTTCCTGTACTAACCAAGAAAAGATAATTGATCCAAATTACACCCATGCATACAAATTTACGACATGCACATGCAACTAACAATGAAATAAAGCCAAAGTCCAAATACATGAGAAAGCATCACACAGTGCATGAAAAAGCAAGTGTTAATCCTAAACAACAAAACCAAAGCAGAGGTGCATGATTTGAGTATCCTACATGCACAATAATGCAGTATTGGACATCTGTATCAACAAACAAAGCTATCCAATATTAGTAGTGCAGAAATCTGGAAATTCTTGACATGCCTTCCCTAATATTTCTTGTTTGCTCTCTATGTACCCGAAGATGTCTTCACAATTTCTCATAGTGGACATTTCGGTCAAATCTTCCAATAGCTGAAAAATCATGCCGCCTTCAATATGTTCTTTCTCACAAAGATAAAGGACAATGTCTGTGAGAGAGAGAGAGAGAGAGATGGTCACAAGTTCAGTAAATTTGACACAGAAAAACAAGTACAAAGAGAAAGACTAGGGTTGGAAGAGAAAGAGACATAGAGAGAGGGGGAGAGAGAGAGAGAGAATATAATGAACATGCAACCAAGTTCAAAAAATTCATTACCAATGCCAAAGCCCAGAATGCTTAATGAGTTCTAAAGTAGAGTATGCACTTACCAAGAAGGCGTGGAATTTGTCCAGGACTATTTTCCCCTTCAGCAACAGATTGCCCATACTGCATGACTTTCTCCCCTGACTGAACTGCAGCTGACTACCAAAGGCAAGGAACAATAAATTTTCTGCAAACATCAAGTTGATATCCTATACATGCACAAGATGGTGCAATGTTTCAATAAATGAGTGAAAATTCAAAATAGCATTCTTCTATCCTCACAAAACAAAAGCTTTCCATTCAAATCAGTCTAATCTTTTTCAAGTGATTAGTTGAGATTGGGACTAAAACTTCATCCTAGCCTTCAAACTGAACAGGTTTGAATCAAAAGAAATTACAAAACTCCAAAACTTAAAGGCTTTAGAAATCTCAAAGACGGTTTCATGATTCTTCTGATATACTCTAATACCAGAACTTGTTTAGGAAAATCTTCAAAAAGTACTTTACAATTCAGTTATCTATTCTGAAATATATTCAACAAAAAGTTTATTTCAAAAGATTCTTTTCTTTTTTACTAGTCAGTTTTTGCTTTTACACAAAGTTTTTGGGAACTTAAAAATGACAAAACTTAATTGTTTTTACAAACTTCAAAATAGTTTCAAAATTCTCGAACATTCTATACAAGAACTTTTTTTTTATAAACTCAGAAAATACCATTTTATGAACAAGTGCAAACAACACCATAGCCCACAAGAATGAAAGTGAAGTCCTTACAGAACAAATAAACCTATTACAACTGAAGCATGGGCTAGATTTTCTTCTATTTCGTCCTCTTCTTGTTTTTCCTATTAGATGTAGCAAAACATAGCCAAAGCTTCGACATCCAAATTTCAAAAACAAAACAAAGGCGTACGGAACTACAAACTTTTAAATGCATATCCGGTGCTTCAATCAACAGAAGTTTCCTATCAGTGTTGCAGTGATGGATAGACATGATAGTTAAATTTACGATACATAATGCAAATAACAGACAATTTTACACTAAAAAGCAACATCAGTATACCACTAATTCCTGCAGTAGCGTGCGCAAAATGTTTTCCAGCAATTGATTCTCATCTTGAGCTAATTTTGTTTGCTTCTGCAGTAGTCCGGAATTAAAAAAAAAAAAAAACACACACACACACGCGCACAAACACAAAAGAAAGCACTATTATTAATCAGTCGATAGAACAATGTCAAGAAGAGAAATTTCTGGAGCATGCTTTTACCTGAGGTTTTATAGCTTCTTGCACTGTCTGAAGGGCAAAATCTTCAGGCGGGCCAGGATTCACTATCGCATTCCTGAATAAATCCTGAAAAACCACATAATTACAATTTAATTGCATGCTTTCATCTAAACCCTAGAATAGCAAAAATTATCTCTTACCAAAGAAAAAAATTATCCGAATACTACAAATGAGAAAGAAGAAATTAGGAAAGCATTTATAACTTTAAATAGAAAAAGAACTGCAAATAAATATGCAAAGTACAAAAAAAAAAAAATGAAAAGCTATAACGGGGAGAGTGGAATTCACCATGGGCGCGGAGGTAGTCAGGAGTGAAGGAACTGACGATTGTTTGAATTAGGCCCTGTTTGGTTCACGGAATCCTCAAATCATCCAAAAAGGGAAGTGAAACTGGCAATAAGGCCACAAAGTCTAATCAAAATCACAAAAAGGCCGGAGTTTTTAAATTCGGACAGGCCAGTGGACCGGTTCCAGATTTACCGGTCCAACCGGCTGGTTCAATAGTTCTTTTTTTTTTTTCCTAACAATAACAAGGCAATGGATAGAAAATAATATGAAATATGTCAAGTACTAGTCACTTAATTCAATTTGTAAAATTAATAAAGTTGCTAAAATGTAAAAATTCAACAAATAAAAAGGAACCCATCAAATATTTCTATTGATGCCGCCATCATAACTTTTAAGATTCGGTGGGATGGGAGGTCAAGTGTGAGGACCCGTAATTTTCTTAATGTCTAGGTTTTTATTTTTTTTTAATTGCACGTTTTTCCACATTTTCTTTTCGAAATGTTTTTTAAACACAATGTTTATGAGTAAATATAGTTTTAGATGATTTTTGTAGTATTTGTTAGTTTTTGAGAAATTAAGAGCGTACATCGGACGTGGGACCCGCTAATGTGAAAAATTAGGAAAAATTCGGCCAACTAGATTAAGATTTGGATATTGGGTTTAATTTATTGGTTGTTATGAGATATTTAGAGGTTACTAAGTGGTTGGTGTGAGAGAGAAAAAAAGTTAGGCAAGTAATTAATGAAAGTGACATGTGTCACTTAGAGATTCATTCCTACATTTGACTTACTATTCATCCTTTTACCATTTACTAAATAAACCTAAAAATTGACCAAAAATCTTCCATTTTTTCCAAGCTTGTGGCCGAACCTCACTACAAGGAAGAAAGAAAGAAAAGCTCTCCAAGTTCTTGATTCAATCTTGCTCAAATCCAATAAACCAACCATTTAATCTTGCTTTTGTTCCATAAAAACCTTTAAGTGCGTGGTTGTGAGTTGATAAGTGGAGTTGTTTGGAAGTTTAAGGTGCTAAGTGGTCTCTTTTCTTTGGTTACCAAGGTGAGTAGTAAAGAAACCCCTCTTCTCTATCTAATGATGTTTAATTAATAACATGTGGTAGCCTAAGATGTGACTTTGTGGATTATATCTTGATTTTGGTTGAAATTGTTGAAGTTTTATATTTATTTGGGATTTTTCTATTTTAATATGATTCATATGTTGTGGCCATGTATGATGATTGGAAATGACCTAAAATGAAGCTAGTGGGTGTAAATGGTGGTTAATTGCAGGAAATTTCTGTTTTGGAAAGAAATTTTGAAAATTAGGGTTTCATTTTCCCCCTTTCTGCTTGGTACTTTTCATCATGGTTAGAGGCCGAATTGGCCTTGGGTTAAAACATGAAAGTTGTAGGGAATGATATTTTAGAGATGCCTGCAAAATTTCAGGGCAATCGGAGTAGCGTAGCTTGTAAAAAGACCGAAATACCCTTGCTACCCTGTTTTTACCCGAACTTGAGAATTGCTTCTGTAATTGGTTATTTTGGTTGGGAATACTTCTGAATTGGTTGTTAAGGTCTTTTGAAGAAATGTAGCCTGATGTCTTAGCTTTCGGATGGCTTTGGAATCACTTGATTTGGACTTAGGTAGCCTGAATTACGGTTCGCTAACCAGAATGCGGTTTGTTAACTTGTTTTTACGGTTCTGGTATAGTATATTGAATTTTTGACCTGTATTCACTAGAAACCGGACTAAGTGTCCTTCTGTAACTTTGTATCCCTATCTCTTAGCTTCGAAACGGTGGGTCTTGTACCTCCATCCGATAATCGTAGTGCCAATGGTGCCAAAACCGCAAAATGACGTCAAAAAAACTGTTTTATGGTTTAGAGCTTAATTCCATTTCTGGAAATGTTTCTAACTTAATTGTTGTATTTATATGACTTTAAGCCTAGTGAATGGCTTTTGGAAATGAGATTATTCTGTATGAGATGTTGGGACTGATTTGAGGAAAATAATGAAGCCATTAGTGGCTGGGAAAATAGGTAAACACAAAGGGCATGCTGCCAAAAAATTTTGGGGCTATGTGATTTCCTTCAATAGAGTTGATTTTAGTACAAATGAAGGGTTTTAGTGGTTGTTTATAACCCTAGGACCAACTGTTATCTTTTTACTCTGTATTAGTACTTAACCTAGGAAAGCATACGACATCTAGTCGAGCCTTACTTATCCATTCCGTTTACTCGATTTTGGATGTGAAACCTTCAATTGGTTTACTTTGATGATTTTAGGGTTTCTTGGCGATTAAAGCCAATCCGAAGTGAAAACTTTTGAAGTGCCTGTATTTGAACCGGTGAGTGTACCACTCCCCTCACTTGTTGTCTAACTCGGTTTCTGTACATGCTATCTGTGATATGAACGTCTGAACTATCTGTTTATTTTGTTGGAGACGAGGGTGTATTTTATCACACTCGTTCTCTTGTCTGTTCATATGCCAATTTTGGTACGAATCTGAATCTATTATCTGTATCTGTATCTGTTATCTGTATCTGTATTTGTTCTGATGTCGTTTGAAAACTGGTATCCAACGACCTTTCTGTGACCTCTGAGCTCAACACCTATGGCTAGTTACTCGAGTCGGGCCGGCAAGGGCCTGGTCGATTAGATAACGAATCACGGTAGTCTGTTTTTGGATCTTTGGGTATTGAGACCCTTGATTCCGGTATACTCGAGTATTACCATTTCTGAACTGATTGGAGTTCGGGTCCGGTAGGGGTATGTGAGGTGGAAGGAATCGGAGAAAGTGGAGTCTATGGTATTGGTTACTTCTTTAACGTTGACGAAGTGTCAACTATTATTTTGATCAAGTTTCGGTGAAGCAAATGGGAATTTGGCTCCTGAGATCCACCTGTATCCTTTCTGTCTATGGTGTTTGTTCACTTCTTTATTTGATTCGCATATGTGACTAATTGAATATGAAGTTCCACTTTTCTTACTTGCTATTATTTTGGTACCTCATTGAGCGTAAGCTCACCCCTTTCCGTTATCTTTGTTTTCCTTACAGGGAACCACTTTTGAGGCTAAGATGTTTTGAAGCACGAGTCGAGCTAGTTTTAATATATTTTTGTAAAGCTCCTCGATAGTTGGAAAACCCTAAATGTATTTTGATCTAATTATCTTCTTTTTGTTTCATGAACTACAAACGTATGTGTATAAAACTATTTACCCTGTTCATGTATCCTATTTGGATTGGGAATGTTTTTCTCGAGTTATATTGCCATATCTGTATTTGTTTGGCTCCTAGTTGGATGGTGACGTGGCAACCACTATTCATTGTGGTTTCGATTTTCATTTTGCCATTTGGCGACTTTGAATCGTTTGAGCGCGCTATTACCTTCCTGAATGTTTTCGATTTCATTTAACTGCTCAATAGTCCTGGCGAGAGTTGGGCAGGCAGTCCGCTAACCCCTTTGATACGCCTTAGGGGAAGGTAGGGCTGTCACATCAAGGGTTCAAACCTTGTCTCCCACCAATTACCACTATATGTGGTTTGCCATTTTAAGTAGTTTAAATTCATATAGGTGCGTAATGCACCCGTCTGATCCGATAGTAGTTCAGTCTCTGTCGGTTCTCCTGTAGACTCAGTTGGGCTTCTCCCTTATAACAGCACAGAGTAAGTTGAGCTCAGTTGGGCTTCTCCTTTGTTTTAGGGTTTCTCCCTAAAACAATATGAAACACGTTCAAAAAGATGGCAAATTTAACCATTGTCAACTCCCCCACACTTGAATCGTTGCTTGTCCTCAAGTAATATCAACAACTACATAGCGAATGATCCAAGTGCATAATCAAATAATATGCTTTTTCAAATTCAAATCCCAAACTCAGTAATCTGCCATTATGCCATTATTCAAATTCCACTAGATTCTCATAATATCTAGTAAAAGAGAGACAATTATACTCAAATTTAACCATACTTAATTCAATCTCCCATCCTAACCCTAACTCCACAAATAAATAACTCATACAGTCAAAGATGGTTAACCCCCTACACTCTTCTTTTCCTCAAAACTTAGCTTCAAGAGGGAACTATTCACACACACTTTGAACAACCACTTAGCTTACTAGAGTGTCTTTTTATGCGAAAATCAACGTTTTTAGGTGAAGATTCCAGATTACTCATTACTTGCATACTAAAGTCACTCAATTACTCCTAATTCTAGCACCTTTTTACGTTAAAGTCGACATTTGTTAATGAAGACTCCCAGTTATTTAGAGCAAGAATTATTGGAGTAAAACTCTTATTTTCCATACTTCTCTCTCTCTCTCTCTATTCTTTTGTTTTTGAAGAAGAAATCCCACTTAAAACAATATATAGAGTAGGAAGAGTATCACTAAATTGACTGTATCAATCACTTAGTTGTAGATTTAAGTAACAGGAGGAGAAATCTCATTAAACAAGAAAATATAAGCATAATTTTCCTTACTTTACCAAATATACTTTTTAAAATGCAAAAATTCTAACCGCATAATAACTAATTCCAAGTGTCATAGGAAATGAATCATTCAAAAGCACATTCCAAAATTCAACAAGTAGCGGAGTTAACTTCTTGAAAATGAAATTTTGTTGGCATTGCTGAAACATTTTGGGCCATAGTGGAGTTTTGAAAAAGATTTTGATAGAGTTTCCTCTTATAACTGGACGAAACTTTCTGCCAATAAACCCAAATTCAAGAAAAATGTCGACATAGCAGTATTTCCAAAACATACTCCAACATTTCTGACAATCAACAAACATAATCACATAGTCACAAAATTCAAAACTATTCACTAAACCTGATTCCCCTCCCCCACACTTCAAATTCACATTGTTCCCAATGTGAAAGATAGAAAACAAATAAAAGAGAAAGAATACTCCCCTTTTTTCAAGTAACTATCGATCAAGACCAAGTGACGAAGTCCTTCCTAGCTTTAAAGGCCAACAGAAAAGAAAAGATAATGTTCAACGTGTGAGGATCCAAAAATTATTTTTATATTTTGTATTTTAATCTAATTTCCTTGAATTTTTGATTAATTTAATGGTTGAGTCATGATTTTTATTTCTATTGCCCCATTTAATTTGTTGCAT